ATATTAGAAATATGAGCCTAATACAATAACACTGAAAGAAAATGATTTTGCCCTCCTTTTTGATCCATTGGATTTGTTAATGATATCTTATATATTTACTATAAATTAATAAACTCTATTTATTGATTATTGGTTATCTGAAAAGCACTATAAAATCCTTCTTCCAAGGCTACCATGATAGATCTCCAATTAATCTGGAAAGGTAGAAAAATAAAGCACATTAAGATACTAAATCAAGACAAACTTTAAAAGTTTTCTAGAAACTACCAATACAATCTTGAAGGAGGTACCACTGCTTAAAAAAACTCAAACAATGTTAGTTAAAACTGTATCATTTTTTAGGTTATATTAAGTAAAATCTCTCTTCCATTAAAGAATATGCTTTATTTCTGAAAAATAGCTCATGTTTTAGGTTCCAAAGGAAAAGTAACAGAATTTAATGGTATCTTTTATATGACTTAACAGAATCACAAAATTAGATTTAAAATTTTTAAAATAGGAATGGTCTTTAAATATCACCCTCTCAACTCTTTCATCTCATCTCATTTACTTATTTTATTTCAGTTCCAAGAATGAGGATAACAAAAAAGAAAGCTCAAAGGTTTGTTTTAATTTTTCAGTTGGATCAAGCTGAAATTACTGAGTTTAAAACATTTTAATCTTAGAGGAAATTTTTGGCTTTCTGAGTCCCTTAGTCTGGGTATCTGCTGCCATGTGTGTGTTTCCTCACCCCTGGTAAATCCCTTTCTTCAAAATTCCAGATGCATGACAAAGCACAGACCCCAAAGGATGAGCATGAGTCACACTTTAGGGTGACAGACCTTGGTACAGACACCATGGTTAACACAACTTTCCAGTCACTTTTGTACTCTCTCCCTGTAGTCGGCTATGACTCTCTCTAGTGTGACTATCTGAAAGGCTTTTCTCCCTGATGGAGGCTCAATTTTGTTTTTTTTTTTTCAGGGGGAGGGGGCAACTTGCCATATAGCCCAAGCTGACTTCAAACTCAACATTCTGCCTGCTCTGCAAACCAACACCATAATCACAAGTATATACACTACCATGCCAGGTCCCTCCTGCCCCACTAATCTACTTAAATTCAAAGAGGCTGTCATTCTCTAAGAAGTTTATCAAATTTAAGGTAATTTCCAAAATAAGCTTCAACAATGAGAAAACTGCAGTACAAAGAACATAGGTAGCCTGCTCAAATCGTCCAACTAATGAGATGTACAGTTGATAGACGTCATCCATCTAGGTCCAATTATATTATTATCCATATAATCATTTCTAAAGTGCTAAAACTTCTTGTGACTTCCTTCTAAGTTACTTACTCATATATATTTACAATTAATAGTGATTGCCTTCTGATATCTTCATAGGATACTTTGAAAAAGCCCTTTTTGTTGTTTTGGTTTTATTTCTGGCTTTTTGAAACAGGGTCTCGCTCTGTAGCCAAGTTACTTGAACTGATTCTCCTGCCCACCTCCTGACTGTTGGGATTACAGGTATGGACTACAAAATCCTGCTTTAATCTATACTTTTTTTTCCCTTTTTGCAACGCTAGAGGTTGAAAACAACACACAGTACTGTATGCTAGTCAGGCATTCAGCATGTCCTTAGCCATCTTTCTACTTATTTTGAGATAAGAATCTAAATTGCCCCAAGCTCATCTTGAACTAGCAATCCTCTTGCAGTGGTCTCTAGAGTAGCTGGGGTTATAGACCAGTACTACTAGATCCAGCCTAACATACTTAAAAATGCATTTTTCTCTCCTTAATATATACTTAAAGTTAATATATCTTTTTCTCCCTGAAAGGGTTCTACCAGTTTTCTTTGCAGAGGTTAACAAATTTAATCACCTACCTTCACAACTTCACACACACATGAATTAACTTCTTAGTAACCAAATTCTTTTTGTTGTTTTTCAAAATGTCTCCCCAAATTCTCTGATTTTTCTGTTCCCATTAAACTAGTTTAAGATTTTTACATCTAGGCTAATGAATCAGCAACAGACAATTCTGGAAGAATTAACAAATGACAGGAAGAGATGTCAATGACAATGACAGTCTGTAATCCCCACTGAAAACCATTCTTCACACTAACATGTGAGTCTTATGACTCACTTAAACCTACTAGGGAAAAGTCCTCAGTTACTTCAAGCACGATCTACAAAAGCTGTCTCAAAACTTCCGCAAACTCCTATCATCCAAGACTTGCCATAAGCCACCACTCCCCACACACACAAACACACACACACACACACACACACACACACACAAGCATGCACACGTGTCTCCTTTATATTGAGTTACCTTCTGTCACTGCCTTAGAATTCCTTCCTCCTGCTTGAAGTTTCTACTCTTCTATCAATACCTAACTTACGATATTACATGAAACCTTTTTTAATTATCCAGGAAAGAGGTGTCTGCCCTTACTCTGCACCGGGTTTATCAGTTATCCCATCTATAATTTTACTTTGTGATCTTTTAAACCCAATGTCTGGAATGTCAGCTGCATCAATGCACGAATGCATTTTCTGTGGCACGTCCGAGGAGACATGCAGTGTTCTTAAGTTTAGCACTTTATCTTGAAGTTGATGGGTACTCAAAAATATTTCCTGAATGAATAACTGACTCTAGTTTTTAATAATGAACTCTCCTATAAAATGTAAGCTGCCCAGAGAAATGGGAAGAATATGTTAGAACGACAGGGGAGACGTTCACTAAAGGAATAATAAAGTATTTTCAGTAGAAGAAGTAAAAGAGCAATGTCTGAAGCAACAGAAAAGGAATTTACCATTCAAGCTATTTTTTGATATGCTGAATATAGCATTAACCCACATCACTGAGGAATCTCAGTTCGGATAGGCCATCCTGAGTTTATTACTGAGAAACACCACATATGGATTCTTTCAGAAAGACCTCTCAACAAGAAATCAAACTAAGAAGGGTATTCTGGGAAACTTCCAGCACATTATTGCAACCACTGAGTCATCTATTAATAAATCATTCTGTCAACTGAGGAAAGATCTTACAGTTCGATTTTATTGTCAGAAGTTGTCTGTTAAAAAAGATGAGTCACCAAACCAATAATAAGATTTTACAAGAAGCCGAGTTAACAATGAAATTTCATGGGTTCAAAGCTCTACTTTGTTTCCATTAAATTTTTCTAATGTGGAAAATGAAAGTACAATTTTATTTAGTAGTACATGAAAACCAGGATGCATAAAAATAAAATATCCTTGACTACATCCTGCCTTGTTTCCCCCCAGCTCTCCAGCTGTGGCTTAGACTAGGAGATCTGCAACCTATAGTGACGGCAGAAGCTGCAGAAATGGCAGCAAAGACTGGGGGCCGTTTTCTTTCTCCCCTTTCTAGAGCAAAGAAGTCAACTTTTCACTTGGGGAATGAAGACTTACTCATGAGCAGAGTCCTTACAGGGTTAGAATCACAGCAATTCAGGAAAAGGCAAATAGACTTCTTAATTATACATAACTGATAATATTTAATTGTAGCTATTACTATGGTTTTAATTTTGATGAAATAAGATACATATGATGGGGGGGTCACTTCAGTTATAAGACCTATCGATATGCTTAAGTTTGTCCTAAGAACCTTCTGGTGACTACCTAATCAATCAGTTACTACAGAACTGGTCTAAGTTAAACAACTTTAACAACTCTCCACTAAATGGCAAGACCTAAAGAACAAACACACATTTCTTCACCCCCTTTTCTTCATCCCTGGGAAAGAGAACACCTTTTCAAGTAAGTTACTGGACTCATCTGGTCATACATTTAAAGGAAATAGAGCATGATCCAAGACAAAACTGTTAGCATCAAAGAGAACTCACTGTAGCAGTAGGGTAATGGGATGGTTTTCTGTTAATTAGTGACTAGTGAAACCCATTATTTAAATATCTCAAAGCCTGTAAAGATGTAAAAATTGAAACAAGGAACTTCAGAATTACCTAGTATTTTGATCAAGGATACACAGTAAAAGTTCAGAGAACTAAGACGGTTTCCTTGGCCCAGTGTAAATAAACAGATGGCAGAATTTTATGATTAGAGACGCTAATATTGTGCATCTCCAGATACTACACCTGAGAAAAAGCAATAATTCTTCTTAAGTTTAATTATAACCCTCCACTCAAATCACTTTCGTTATAACTTACAATTTAAGCATGCTATTTCACTGAACAAATGCGATGTCTGTGCTAGGCAGAACTGCAAGCCAAGGTGCAGTAACAAAAAAAGTAACAGTGAAAAAAGTTGAGTTTGTTATGGAATCCACGGCATTTAAACTTCAAACCACAATCCACGCTGAAGCTCAAACCGAGAGGACCCGATTTTCACCCGTGGTGACATTCTTACTGGAACCGCAGTGTGCTTTACAACTACACTTCTGTTGATAGGAAGGAAGCCCGGCAGAGCCTTCATTTTTCCTCTTATCTCTACTTCTATTTTTTTTCACATAAGGAAATATTGTTGCATTGTTTTGTCACCCATTCCATTATCTCAAACACCACAGCTTCTTACCACGAACACCACCAAATCCAAATTTCAATTTGAAGTATCCCAGACACTAAAGAAATACATCTGACCGCCCACAGCGCCTCGCACCTTAAGGATTCTCTAAGTAGAGCGGGGTGGTTCCACGGCTATTAAACGCCGTGAGCTGTGTCGCTTGCCCTAAGCCCACCGCTGAGGCTAAGCAGGCCTTTATTGTCCTAAAACCTCCTCCAGGCTTTCAGCCTGTACGGTAAGCCGGCAGGCTCCCGGTGCCACTTCCAGCCTGCCGGGCCGTCTACGGGGACCGGTCTCCGAGAGCCCCGGCTGCGTTGGCCCCCGGTGCCCCGCTCGGCGCGAGGATCCGCGCGGAGGATCCGGCTCGCCCAGCCTGAGCTCTCGCCGCCAGCACCTCGGCCCCGGCGACCCGAGCGAGGCCCGGCGTCCGTCCCCGCCCCTCCCCCGCCGCCGCCCGCCGAACCCCGGGACCCACCTCGAAGAGCTCGGCCGTCGTGGCCATGCCGGCCGGCTGAGAGGCTCGCCCCGCGCTCGAGGCCGTCTCCGCTTCACATGCTACGCCTCAGCGGCGCGGCTCGCACGTCCCAGCTCGGCCTCCCGCCTCCGGCCCCGGCTGCGGACGGCTGCGGACGGCCGCGGGCCGCCCGTGTCCTCACACAGCGCAGGCTGCGCGGGAGAGCGGCCATGAAGCGGAGCCGAAGACGCCTGTCAGCTGCCTCCCGGCGCCGCCCGCGCCGCTCCCATTGTCACCGCCTCGCACGCCGGAAGTGGCGCTGCGCGCGCCCGGCTGACTTGGCGGGGCGGGCGGGCTGCCGAGGCGCTGGTCTGCGAGCGGGCGACGCGCCTTGAGCCTCGCGGGCCGCCGTCCCGGAAGTGGGAGGTCCGTCGAGATTCCGGTGCGGGTTCCTGGACTTTCCGAGGTGTGTGTTGACTTCCTGGAGGGGCGGGCGGACTTGAGTCACCGCACTGGAAAGATCGAGCGTCTCACGTGAAGGTTTGCGGCGCGCGGGGAACGCCGACGTTCCCCAGCGGAGTCCATCCCAAAGCGGGTCTGCTCTGGCAGGATGCCGGCTTTAGTTTTTGTACTGGTCTGATACTGCGGCGGCTTACCATGGCCCTGCGGGCAGTGTGGCTCGTCCGTCACGAGCCAGGAACTCCGCTCGGTGGCACCGTCAGGTTCTCCAGGTAATTGCGAGTCTGCTTCGTCAGGCGTGATGGGGCCCAGAACGGATCGTGTAGCAGTTTTCTTGTGTGCACTGAATTCCAGATCTGCCCGGAACAGCTCGCTGAGCGCCGCTGGGCAGGTGAACCCTTGTATCCTGTACCTTCTGACATTGTTGTGAGAAATGAGTTGCTTGACACGTTGCTATCTTTGTTGTTGTTGTGAAGCAAAAATACCCCAGCTATTCTGGAACTCGCTATGTAGACCAGACTGACCTCGACAGACATTTGTCTTGTCTCTGCCTTTGGAGTGCTGGGATTAAAGGTGTGGACCACCATACCCGGCTGTATTATTGTATCTTAAAATGAATTCCTTCTGTTTAAGATTGGTACAGATAAAATGAAAGAAAAAAACTTACTGAGCACTAAACCTGTTTCAGGTTTTCCAACTTTCAGTGGCAAAATTTATTTTAGAGTATTTTAATGCATTCTTCCAAAAACTCCTTGTGGAGCAATAAGTTTTCATCTTATCAGTGTACGTGATTGCTAGAAGTCATTATTGTTTGCAGTTTTTAGTGGCTGAACAACATAGAAGGAACAGTGAAAACCTTTATTACCATCATTTTTTCCTAGGTGACATAAATGACCTGTTCCCATTTTAAGATTTTGCCATTTCTTACCAAAATAATTCTACGGCGAGGACTATACAGTAGCTTAAAATACAGAAGGTGGACGTGTACTCTACTAAAAATATTTTTTTTAGTTCTTTTTGTTTCTTTTCAGAATTTATTATTGAGTTCATTTCTCCATTTATTGATTGGAAATTTGGGGCTGTGTGTGTGTGTGTGTGTGTGTGTGTGTGTGGTTTCTGCAGTTCTTTATACAATATATTAACTGCTTTATAAAGTATAGCTAGCCAAGTTTTTTTTCCCAATATGTAGGCTGTCTGTCTCTCCACTTTGCTTGTAGTTTTATTTGTTTTGCAGAAACATTTTAATTTCATGTCACTCTTGAGGTTGTTTCCTATTCTTGGCAGTATGTCTGAGAAGCCTCTGACTATTGAGTAGCTTTGCGTTCTTGGAAAGCAGCACCTACACTTGAACTTCCTGCATGACAGAAAGGGAATGAGTTCTAAGTCTATGCTAATGTTACAAACCAGTAACAGTAAGCATTTGTGGGTGGTGTGACTGAGGAACTCATTATTAGGTCTTTGTTGTTTTGAGACCAGCACTGCGTAGCACTGGCTGACCTAAAACTCACTATGTAGACCAGACTAGCCACAAACTCATAGATATCCTCCTGCCTCTGCTTCCCGGGTGCTGAGATTAAATTCATGCAACCAGCATGCCCCATCTCAGCTGTTACTTTTGCTTAAGTTTAAGTAGCACATGGACCTAGCGCCTACCATATTGGACACGGCAGCTCTAGTTACGTGATCTGTAGGAAGTTATGATTTCTTTCATTCAAATTCCTTAGTGACAGATTTAAGTTGCTTCTCCCATTCAGAATGGAGCTACATTTGAGGAGACATCCTCAAATGGCCTTACAACATGTTTATAATGATTTTGTCAAAATACTGACAAGCAGCTTCCCAAATGCTAACACGTTCATTAGAAATTAGTGGATTTCTGTACTTTTATGACTCTTCCTCTAACTTTTACCAACAAAGGTAATCTAATTTCTATTTGTATATCTTTCTCTAACAATATTTGCTCATCTCTTAGGTTTCCTTTTCTGTGAATTACCTTTACTTTCCAAAGATACCAATTTATCCATTCTGTATAATTTTGTCTGTTACATTTAAGCCTTTCGTCTATTTGAAGCTCAGCTTTGCATATGGTGGTAAATGGGAAATTCACCTTTTCTTTATGCTATTTGACAGTTTTCCTGACATTGTCATGTAAGCGTATATATCTTGGCTCACTATTGATGTTTGTTATATGCCTTTATATAAACACTGATCTATCTCTGTTCTATTACTTTGTCTTTTTTGTGCCAATGTTCTGATTTTATGCATTGTAATTGAAGTGAGACCTTAGTTAATTGAAAAAGTGAGCCCATTTGAAGAATTCATGCAGAGCTGAAGAGATGCTTGGTAATTAAGAACATTTACTTGCTCTTTCAGAGGACCAGAGTTTATTTCCCAGAACCCACCTGGGACAGCTCACCAGCCACCACTAACTCTAGCCCCAAATGGATCCAGCATCTTCTGGATGCCAAAGCCATCTGCATTCACATGCACATACCCACTCCCACCACTCCACATATGTAACATAAGGGCCAGGCTTGTTGGTTGCAGTTTCTGTCCTGCCCAGTTTCCACAGCCAGTAAGCCCCCAAAGAAAATCACACAGAGTCTGCATTAATTATAAATGATTGACACATTAGCTCAGGCTTCTTATTAACTCTTGTAGCTTATATTAACCCATTATTCTTATCTGTGTTGGCCACATGGCTCAGTATCTTTTTCAGCGGGGCAGGTCACATCCTGCTTCTTCGGTGGTCTGGGCAGGAATGGGGGAAGAGCTTCCTTCTTCCCAGAATACTCCTGTTCTCATCGTTCTGCCTCTACTTCCTGTCTGGTTGACCCGCCTATACTTCCTGCCTGGCTAATCAGCATTTATTTAAAACATGATTGACAGAATACAGACAATTCTCCCGTACCACATATATATATATATATATATATATATATACACACACACACACACACACACACACACACACACACACACACAGAATTGGGAAATGAAAGTCAAGTTAGTTTTCGGAATGCTTTCCCAGTTGTGCATATTACGTACTTTAGACAACACATTCAGACACATTTAGGTGAGTTTCACTACATCTCTATGGAGTTAGCAAGTGTGTGTGGGGGGGGTGTCACATGATTGATTCATCTATGTGTTGCTTTAATTCTGTATTATTGAACAAATTCCTAGTTTTGTAAAGTTCTGCATTTTCAGATTTCTGACCATTTGAAGCTGGTGTTAAGGCCAATAGATAGGAATTAACATATGTTCCTTAGCCTGTCTTGGGAAGATATAAAGAAATGTATGTAGTAATATTTTGTAATCTACCACATAAAGCTTGCCTGAAGATCGCAGTACAGAGCAAGCCACTAGTAGAGGCCAGGCAGTGGTGGCACACACCTTTAATCCCAGCACTCGGGAGACAGAGGCAGTCGGATCTCTGTGAGTTCAAGGCCACCCTGGGTTATATGAAATTGGTCCAGTTTAAAAGAGAAGCAGAGCCAGCTGGTGGCAGCTCACATCTTTAATCCCAGCAGGTGGAGGCAGGGATGTAAGGTGGAAGGAGACAAGAGCTTAGATGCAGTCTAAGGGTTCAGTCTGAGCATGCAGTCTGAGGATCATAGAGATGGATGCAGTCTGAGGTTTCGTAGAGACAGCAGCAGTCTGAGGATTCTTATAGACTGGATCACCCCTTTGGTCCAAACATTGGTAGAAGAATTCTCTAGTGTTGACTGCTTTGCTTCTCTGATCCTTCGGTTTTTACCCTGATAGCTGACTCGACCAATTAGAATTCTTGTTATAAATGTGTAATAACCCTAGATTTAAAAGACAGTAACAGACCAAAGGAATCTATTCAAGTTGAGCTTGACAAACCAGTGTGTTTGTTGGGGTTACTTAAGGGAGCACGGGTGACTCACCAGAAGACACACCAGCCACAGTCCCCCAAGTTAGTTGTTTACCTGTTGTGTGGTAGAGTTGGTGTCTTGGGGAGAGGAGGCCTTGAGAGGTTCCTGTCAGTACTGACTGCGTCATCATAGATACTCTGCCTCCGCCCAGAGGAAATAGTCACAGCACTGCATATTCTCCACATACACACCAAAGAGTAGTGGCTATCACTTATGATTCAAGACGGCGAACGATCTTATATAACAGTCTGGATGCACCTCAGATTGGTATTACACCCATAGTAATAGGGACACTTTTTTTTTAAAAGATTTGTTTATTATATACACAGTGTTCAGCCTCCATGTATGCCTGCAGGCCAGAAGAGGGCACCAGATCTCATTACAGATGGTTGTGAGCCACTATGTGGTTGCTGGAATTTGAACTCAGGACCTCTGGAAGAGCAGCCAGTGCTCTTAACCTCTGAGCCATCTCTCCAGCCCTCTATAGGGACACTTAATCCCGTCTTGAAACTGATGTTCTTCTGTCGGCTCAGTGGCTGCACATCATCTGCTATCCCACAGCCCCTCAGTCAATGCCCTGCCAGCCACTCCGGCCATGGCCTGGCCAGGATTCTGGTCCTTTGGCCCCAGCTCTGCCATGGCTGCAATATATAAGTTTAAATTAAGTCTCTATTGTTCTATTTACCAATAAGACTCAGGAGTCAAAGGCTGGGATGAAAACCGGCTAGCCCAGAGAGGATAAGTGGCAATTAGCTCACCTTGACTTTTTTTTTTTAAATATTTATTTATTTATTATGTATACAATATTCTGTCTGTGTGTATGCCTGCAGGCCAGAAGAGGGCACTAGACCCCATTATAGATGGTTGTGAGCCACCATGTGGTTGCCGGGAATTGAACTCAGGACCTTTGGAAGAGCAGGCAATGCTCTTAACCTCTGAGCCATCTCTCCAGCCCCAT